TATATTATATATAATATATTAAGGATGTAATTATTAATAGAGGTGGGCACAAAACCTGCTAACAGATTGGGCCACCGACAACTGGCCCGAGAAATTTAGTTCAGGGACCAAATCGGGGGTCCGTACAATAGTTCAGGGACCAAAAAGGGGTTTCAACCTTAAAAAAAATAGAGAATTTTCTGCGATAGGACATATATTATATATAATATATTAAGGATGTAATTATTAATAGAGGTGGGCACAAAACCTGCTAACAGATTGGGCCACCGACAACTGGCCCGAGAAATGGAATTCGGTGCAGGCTTTAACGGGCTTCGGGCCCAAATGTTTGACCTGATTTTAAACGGGTCGGTGTTGGGTTGCTAGCCCAGGAACCGAGCAACCAAATAATAAACTTGAATACCCAAATAAAAATAAAATATAAATACATAAATAACCAAACTCTAACCCTTTTGTTTCTCTAATTCTCTCAAAAATTTTCATTCCCTCTCTCCTCCCCCAAATCTGCCACCTTCCCCTGTCATAGATCAAAAAAATTTCACCCTTGCCAAATCAAATAAAATATCCTATCTTTAATCTTCTCTCATTGTTGTTCCTCTTTATCTCTTAATCTCACTCTCTGTAGTTCACACATTCTCTATATTTCTCTTCTAATCTCCTTCATCTTTCTGTCTTTGTATGGGACAAGCAGACTTCTAAGCTTCTAGAAGAGCTGAAGAGTCATGAGGCACAAGTTTGCTTACTTAGTCTTTGACTGTGAAGTAGAAGTGCTAAGGTATTTGAAGACTATTTGAAGCCAAAGTGAAAAAAAAAAAAACAAAAAGGCAAACCTTAGTCTGTTCACGGGGTTTCTTAAATCTTGAATTCATATATCTGCATCAATTGGTGTGCATGAAAATTATATTGAAATTAACTAATTTTTCCAAAATTTTATGGCCTTTGGCATTGGATCTACAGTAATAAAAGGTAGTCATTGTAAAATGATGTACTAATGATTTGTCAATAGAGACATAATTTCATTGATTTTTTTTTT